ATGCCGCCTTTGCACACATGCCGCAGGTACCTGCCCACCCGGTTCACCTGGCCGGCGTTGCTAGCCGTCGGCCCCCCACAAGCCACGGTCGACGTTGCCGCCCCAGGAGAAGACGACGGCCCCGAGCTAGGACTCGCGTGCGAGCTCGCGCTCGCCGAGATGCGCGTGGACAAGGCTCTGTCCCTGATGCGGCAGCGCCAGCTTCAGCAGCGGCCCGCTGGCGGCAGCAAGAGCAACGCGCACAGCCTTGCGGGTGTGCAGCCATCGGCGCCGGTGGGTGGCGCGAATCCTCCCACGGCGGCGGCGGTGACCGCAGCCGCTGCTCCGGCGGGAACGGCAGGAGCAGCGGCATCCCCTACGGCGGCAGCGGCGGCAGCCGTGGCTGCAACTGACAGCGCTGCTGCCGAGGTGGGGGGTAAGAAGAACGAGGGTGCAGGCGCCGGAGGAGGAGGAGGGTGTCTGCGCAGGTCCCCGGAAGACCTCGCCAGGGAAGCCTCAGAGATTCTCGCGGACGCCGACAGGGCCATCCTGCAGCTGGAGCCTTGGTGCTTGGCTATCGACAACAGCAACCTTGGCGACGGTAGGCAGAAACAGGAAGAGCGGCAGAGAGAGAGAGGCAGACAGACAGAGGCAGAGAGAGAGAGGCAGACAGACAGAGGCAGAGAGAGAGAGAGAGAGAGAGAGAGAGAGAGAGAGAGAGAGAGAGTAGTAAGGCTTTTGGGTTGTGGATAAGGGGGAAGGCCCCCTTTTGCCGGTACCTTCTTCACGTGTTGGCAGAGATCGCCACCTTTCTTTTGAACTGAACAGGCGCGCGCTGATGGAAGCTTTTGATTTTGGCTACAGCAGTACAGCAGTGCCGAGAAAATGTTTTGTCGAGTCATGTAGTCAAGTATCCTCCTCCCTAACCCTCTACGCCCGGGATGTATTGAATCGCTCTTGACTGCTTAAGACGGCGATGGTGCCGCGAAACACGGAGAGTCGAACACCGCACCGTGGGTGCTGGCGGTGCGGTGGTGGTGGCTGAAAGGCATACGAGCGAGGCAGGGCGGCCAAGCGGAAGAAGCGCTGGAGCACTTCCACCGCTGCGAGAGCGCCCTGCGGGGCAGAGGAAGAGAACAGCAGGCGCAGCAGGGTGGCGGCGTGAGCAGCGGGCAAGAGGAGGAGAAGGGCGACGAATTCAACGATGAAGACGAGGAAGAAGTCGCGGTGCTGTTACCGTACTGCTCGGTTCACCCAAGGATCGATCTGCAGGTGAGAGGACAGCCCGGTGACCGGTTAACGAACGTTGTCAACCAGCCCAACGTGTGCCGAATCCCGGTGCATGTAGGCGGGTCACCCAAGACGCTTGCTGATTCCATGGCACGGGGTCGCGAGCGCCCGGTGGCTCAACGGCGACGGAGACTGAACGACGAGGTCGCTCAGGAGAATCGCAGGCCGCATGAGATACCGTGGACAAATTTCTAAAACTCTGCAAGTGATCCGTCCGGAGTGGGCTCATGAGAGCACAGCGATGTCATCAAGGAGTGATGCAAGATGAGAATAAAGCAGGCAGCAGGATCCACCCGCAGCTGGCCTTGGCGTTTCCCGAGCTGATCAGCTCACACAGCTGAAGTGTGTCTTACTCGAACAGACCAGCGATCCTCGGCGAACCAAACAGAAACAAATTACAAGTCTGTATACAGTCTTCCTACTCTGCAGTAACACAGCGAAGGTACCGAAGATGGCGGAAGGCGTTCTAACCGTTGCGCAGAGAGAAGATCCGACAACGCCTCTATTGATTCTGGCACCCCTCTTCGTCGTGGAGTACATTGCGTCCCCAAAACTGAACAGAAAAAAGCACCCACTCAACCATAGGTGTATTATATTCATTCGGGTGCGTTGTTGGCGGAAGGGGTATAGAGGCGACTGTTAGGGAGGTGGGTATTTACCATTAAGACTACCCTCTGAAATATTGGAAAGTATTCGCGCTCGATCCAGGGTGTGTGGTATCTGACGTCATGTCACCGACGGTAACACCACGGTCCTTCTCCTGCGAAGAAGAGCTCCCGCTGCTGTGGTTGAGACGTAAGCAACAGTGGGACGGAGCGCGCGCGGGTGTGCGGGGTGCTCACTTTCTGGTTTTGGCTGTTTCCTTGCTGCTCGGGTTCGTTTGTTGTGGACCGGCGGCCCTCGGGTTGCCGGACAAAATAACGCTCGGTCGCGTCCCACGGTCCTCGTTCATACCGAGTGGCCACGGAATACGTCCGCGTTAGTTGGACCACACGGGTTTCACAAGATAAGGAGCAAGAGTCCGGAACGGGCTTGAATGTGAAGACAGCAACAACCGTACCGCCGCCGCCAAGTGGTTCCTGTCTCTGTCGGTTTTGCCATGCCACGAAATCAAACGCTCACCCGTTCCCCGCCTCCCAAACTTCTCCCCGGAAAGGTTGTTCGGGGGCTTGTTACCGATGTAGAACTCTCCGGCACAAGCGAGGCAGCGCGTGAGGCGTTCTCGAGTGCGATCCTTCTTCTCTCCAAGTGTCCTGCGGTGAGGAACGCAGACACGGCGGCGGGACAGAGGGCGACCGTAACCGCGGGGACCGGCACCGGGGCGACAGCGGAGGCGGCGAGACCGGGAGCGGCAAGCCAGAGCGGCGCTAACGGGAAGTCGGGAGGTACACCTGGCGGCGGCAGCAGCGATGGTGGCGGCAGCGGCGCTGGTAGCGGCAGCGGCGGTGGCGGTGGCGGTGTGGCCGCGGTGGCCAACGAGTCCAGGGTTGGCGACCCGCCTGACTCTCAGAGTGTCGTGTCCGCAGAAAGCAACCCCGCCGGGTCGGTACGTCTCGCACCCGGGGGCGGACAAGGCAACGGCGAACGATCTTTGCCGTCGGCTGCGGTGGACGGGACGGCGCGGCTCGGCGGCACTGGTGACGGCGTCAAAGCTTCATCGCCGCCGCAGCAGCAAAGAGACCAGGCCCTGAAAGCGCTGGCGTGTGTGATGCGGGGGCTGGAGTCTCGCTTCGTGGCCCGGACATCGTCGGCTTCACCGCCATTCCAAGGCTTGATCTCTCCGCCGCAATCGGCCGCCGCTGCGGCGGCGGCCGGTGGACCGGGAGCACCAGACGTCACGGCCGAACCTAAGTCAGCAGCGGCAGCGGGTAACAGGGGGGGCTGGACAGCCCGGGTGCTCTCTTCGCGAGCGGAGGAACTTCTGTCGGATCTGCTGGAGAAGGAGAAGGCGTTCTTGGCGCAGGTCAACCGGGACGGCGCTCGCGCGCTCGAGCGGTTGGCGGCGGACCTCGACAAACCCAATGCTGCCGCCGCCGCCACCTCTGCCCCGCCGCCGCCGCCGCCACCGCCGTTTTTCCTTGCGCGGACCTCCCCTGCTCCTGCTACGCCGGCCATAGCGGTGCCCTCCGTGCTTGCCTCAGCGGGCGGAAGAAGTGATCTAGCCGCTCCGCGCCTGACAACAGCGGGACCGAGCTCACCGCCGGGAACGTCGACCGCGGCAGCGGTGTCCGGCGGTGAACGTGAACTTCTTTTTCAGCGGCGGCGGCGACACGTTCCCCTACGGCTCTCGGGGCCCGGCCTGGGCGACCAAAACTCGGTGTTCTCGATGATGCTCCGCGGCGCTTCCCTTCTCGGCCGCCACGAAATAGCCGTCCTCCTCGCGGTGAGGTGCGCCGAGCACTTCCTAGACGCTTCGGACGTGCTGGCCTCCCCGAAGGGACCTCTAGGCATCGGCGGCGGCGGCAGCGGTAGGCGGGGGTCCCCGGCAATGAGGAGGGCCGGCGCCGCCGGGAGAAGCGGGAGCGAGGGCCTAGGGGCGGTTCACCTCTTGCTGACGTCGAGACGCCCCGGGGCCGACCGGCGAGCGGTAGACGCCGCCGTTACGAGCGCGACGGCCGAGTTTCTGGCCCACGCCCTGGCCGTTGTCGTCTGGGCGGTCCCGTGCGCAGCGAGGGCCGAGCTGTTCGGGGATGGCGGCGGCGGTAGTGATGGCAGGCGGGAGGTCGCGGCGGCGGCGGCGGCGGCGGCTGCGGCAGCGAGGAGAGCATCGGTTCTGCGATGCCTGGCTCGGCTGATGAGGCACTCGATGGAAGACGACAACACCAGGGTAGGAAGCACGTGATTCGCAGAGTTGACGCTCACGTTGGGTAGATGTTTGCGTTGCAGGGGCCACTGTTGTTGCGATGATTCCTGGGTCCTTCGGCGAAGGATAGTTTAGTCCATCTTCGTGCACGAGCACGCTTGTTCCTCGACTAAGAACCCTTGATGGAATGACGCTTAAACCATACCACCAGGTCCTAAACCTGTGCGTTATCGCATGGCAAGCGATCGCCGCGGTTGCACCGGTGCCGAACAACGCCTCCACCCGGACCGATACGGAGACGGGGAAACCCCTACCGTCGGAGGGACGAAGCGTGATAGAGGTTGAGGCCGACTGGGCACAAAAATCCCATGACGACGAAGCGGGAAGTGTTTCAACAACAGAATTCGGCGCGTTTGCCGGGGAGTCCGTCGTGCGAGGCCTCGTTCGCTGCCTGTGCGGCGTGGTGGTGGGCCGGTGGAAGCAGACGGCGAAGGCGCGGAAGAAGGCCTGGGTTCTGCACGCAATGGAGGCGGTGCACGCCCTTGTACGCACCCTCGAGGTGGGGCTGCTGCTCGTTTTGGCTTGGCACTGGCGGAGAACACGTGTAGTTCGGGGGCGGGTTGGCGTGGTGCTTTGGCCCGATTCTCCCGTGGCGAAATTTGGAGCGCTTTTGTCGTTGGCTGATCTCGTCTTTGACTTCGTTGTTGCAGCTTGACGGTACAATCGCCAGTGATCTGTGAAGTGGGCACATGGGACGCAAAGGTCAGCTTGGATGATCCTCCACAAGATATGTTATTGATCGGCGACACCATCACGCTCACGAGCGACATTGAAACTCTGAGCTAGTTCGGGTGCACCTGTTGCGGGTGCAAGTTTGGGTGCACGTATTGCCTCCCCCGCCCAATATCTACCCACCCAATTCGCTGACTCAAACGCGTACGTTTGTACGTGCCTCGTTCTCCCTCGGCATTCCTCTCAGTACCATCAGAGTGTCAGCTGCAGCAACGCCATGCCAGCCACCAACAACACCAACCTCACCGATAGCGACAGCCTCATCGGACCGAGGCTCAGTCCGGGGGTTTCAGGCGTCGCCGGCGGTGACAGCGGCGTTATCACCCCCTCGGCGCCGGTTGGCGCAAAGCCCGCGCGGCATTCTTCTTCCTTTTTCTTCAACGCCAGCGAGCTCCGAGACCTTGTGAAAGCCTTGATGGGCCTGTCGAATCTCCCCGACGGGCCGACTCCGGCCACAGCAGCGGCAGCGGCGGCGGCGGCGACGAAAGGGGCGGGAGGGGCAGCAGGGGCGGGCGGGGGAGGAGGA